AACAACGAGAAAGGATGATGAAACAATGCATTCTATCGTCAACAACGAGAAAGGATGATGAAACAATGCATTCTATCGTCAACAACGAGAAAGGATGATGAAACAATGCATTCTATCGTCAACAACGAGAAAGGATGATGAAACAATGCATTCTAACCATAATGATTAAGAACATAAGAACAGTATATTTATTTAGCTATGATCATTAATATGTATGTGTTTTTAGTTTTGATCTATGTAGACATAGGCGTACGGGAGATTTTTTTCAGAGGGTGAGGCTGTACAATTTTTGCTCGAATGAGGTTATGAATAAGAAAGCTAAAGTTTAGGGAACAAGTATCCAATACGGGGGCTAATTACCAGGAAACCATTTATTTTGAATGTTGATTTAATTGGTGATGGTGCGAATATCGAAATTATTCTAATTTGGCCCGAATGAAAACTGAAAATTTACCCGAATGGCTGTATATATTGCAAGCTAAGGGGGCTGCTCCCCAGCCTCGTATGCCTATGTATGTACATAGCTTGTTTTGATCAGAAGTTAACATCGATAGTGGATACCAACCATAATTGTTAGTAGGTACTCGACATCTTTTATTTAAATAATGCTCGTTTTTCTTCAAGCTCACATGGCAAACATTCCAAACTAAGCACTTGAAAGACACTGTTAAGAGACGCCTGTAATATCGTATGTGGATACCACGTAAATGCGCGAAAACCTTGCACTGGTGTAGCTATGCGCAAGATCTTGTTGTTGCTATTGTTAATCCGTAGCTCGAGACTGAGTCGAGATATTTTCTCGAGGACCAGGCTTTGAATAATATTATTACTATTCCGCTAAGCTAGCATTACTTAATGACGTTTTATAGAAACAAAGATTAATCTAACCCAAAGCGACGGATATATTTATCGAACAACTGCAAACAGAAACCAAACGTTTTTTGTTTTACTTCTTCTCAGTGAATCGATAACGAACCATCCTACTTTTTAATATGGCGAAGTAATATTAAATGTGCCTGCCAGTAGGGGGACACAACTTTATACGACGGTTTTGGAATAAAAGTATTTTTTTTTCTTCTGTTTTTATTAAATTAACATAAAAATAAAAAAAACAACTTTATACAAATAATCTTTTGCAGTATTTTAGCCAGTCTGTACGATTGATTGGCGATCCTAGAAATTAAATCAAATTATGAAAAAAAACAACATAAAATCTCATTAAGGTAAAAGTGTTTAATTAACGGACACCAAGTAGAGTACTGGACAAAAAATTTTCTAATTAGCTAAACTGCAATATTGTGTTTTTTTGTTTTTTGTTATGAGTAACGAAATCTCAGTGTAAAGGTGAAAATATGACCTTATTGCTTAGCTACCTGAAGTGTTAAGGTCATATTTATTTGAACTAAGTATTTTCATAATTTGAGTTGATCTATTACAGAACGGCCACGTGAATTGTCGTCGAACAGCGTGCTCTAGTGACAAAGAATGCTACTTTCTTCCGTACAACGAAAAAAGAGGTTGTTGTAATCTATGTAAGGGTAAGTACATCTCTCAGTGTATGTCTTATAAGGTTATTACGGGATTAGAAATAGCAAATCCCCTCTATACATTGCTTACTTTTTCAACCGAGTCTGTTTTTGTTGCTGAGAGTTTGAGTCAAAATTAAGGAATAATCAAGTTATATGTAAAAACACGGGTTAAAATACATAACGCGGTTAATTTTTATATCAGTTTTAATAATGAATTGATTGATTTTATCTTATAAGATATGTTTGTTTCATTGTATTTTTATTTTATATATAAATTTGGATCCTAAACATCAGTTAAAAACTGCGAGAGCGTCATCACTTGATTATTAATAAAAATAACATTACCACAGTATGCTATCTATATACTGCTAATAACATTACCACAGTATGTTATCTATATACTGCTAATAACATTACCATAGTATGCTATCTATATACTGCTAATAACATTACCACAGTATGCTATCTATATACTGCTAATAACATTACCACAGTATGTTATCTATATACTGCTAATAACATTACCACAGTGTGCTATCTATATACTGCTAATAACATTACCACAGTATGCTATCTATATACTGCTAATAACATTACCACAGTGTGCTA